TCTTGGTGACCCTTGCATGCACATGGGTTTGGGGTTGCTCTTCGATTTATTTACACATTACATATTTTTCCAGGAAAACATTTGAAGATAATGTAGTAACAAATAAGGTTTTCTTTTGAGTTTTAATTCATTAATTTATATCAATGAAGTTTCATGCGATTATATGTGGCCAATGTGAATAAATATCGGGGTAAAATGTACGTAAAATGAGGGGGGGGGGATAGTGATCGGAACTGCTTGATTTATAAATGCGGATGAAGAATTAAAAATAAAATGTTACGTGATCATGCGGAAAATAAAAAGTCGAGGATCGAACCCGGGACATCACTATCATGGAACCAGTACGTGTGCAGTAGGGCTCCGGACTCCGCTGAAATCTTAAGGCCGAAAAAGCGGTACTAGAGGCTGCTTCAGTGTTGCCACGCGCCGCACGACCAAATCACACGCCGAAAACGCAACTTTTGGGAATTTTTTACGCCCTTCCTATTGCGCATTCGGGAAAACGGCTCAAATTGACCTCTAGAATTGGTCCATAGAGTCTGTAAAAAAAAATTCAGCCCAATCGGAGGCGGCAGGTCCGTAAGTTCCCCTTGTTAGTTTCCTATCATTATTTACTGTAACTTTCTGCTGTTAGCAAGTTAACTTCATTCAAGTCTATTTAGTCTATCTTGCCATTTGGCATGAATTAAGTAGATAAATTAAATAGGGCAGATCGATTCGATCTTTAAAGTTAGCGAACACAAATTAGTGAACCTAGCGGCCGTGTTGCAAACTGGTTGAACAGAGCAGTTTACATTATCAGCCACGCAAGCGCGCTACTCGGCCAATTCGGCAGTGACGAGCAAAAATAGCCGCGAAATGTTCGAATTGCAAAAATTCCCTGACTTTCACCGGTTTTCGATCGAATTCCTCGACTTTCCCCAGTTTTCCAGACAGTGATCAAATTCCCTGATTTTTCCCGGTTTTCCAGACCTGCAGACACCCTAGGGATGACATGATACTCACTTTGACCAGCATGTGCTTTTCGGTGGGTGTTAGGTACATTTTTGTTTCGAACATGTGCACACACAGATTGACAAGATCGGACAGAAGCTCTTCGTAACCGATTATTTATTCCAAATTCTCTTTCACCATGTCTCAAAATTTGTTCTGTGTAATGAGAAATATGGATAAATTCTGCGACTCCTGCAGGGTGTGTGAAGCTGCCAAAACTTTCAAGAACTGGGCGGCACTGAAAAAAGAAGCAATGGTGTAGAGACTTGTCACGATACTTTTGAGCTACAACGGAGGTTTGATATGAATCAGAGGGAAGGGAGAAAACTGTTCGATGTCAAGGACAAAGGACTTAACTCTCCACAATGCCACACAGGGTTGCCATAGAGTTAAGAAAAGGAATTTTCCTAACACATTTGGGTAAAATTCTTTGACAATTGAAGATATGCTAGATGGCTGAAAGACATAGAACTAGGGAAAGAAAAGAAGAGACAAATGTCACATCCAAAAATTGCACCACTCAACAGATATTTACATGCTAACCAATGGGCCAACTGATGATTGTTACACTCTGACTGTGACTTTTGTCTCTTCTTTTCTTTCTCCAGTCCTAATAGACTATAATTAAAACGTAAAAGACTTAAATACTTATTTTCGGACAGCTCTTATAGAGACTTTTGCGATATTACTTCTGTTCACACATTTTTTTAAAAGTAATCTTCATTCAGGTACACAGGAGAAAACTTCAAAATAGAGAAATCTTTGAATACTTTACAGACATAAACTTACCGGCGATTGGGAGCGTAATCATTTTTCACACTTGATTTCATGTTTTTCAGTTTATCTAGCCCCGTAAACATATTGATAAATTTTCCTTGGGTGAGCAAGTAGGCTTCCGACACAAAATCCTTCCTCTTTTCACGTGGCACAGCCTTTTTACCTCTGCACAAAATCTTTCAATAGCTTTTCGCTGTAAAAGAAATAATTGGAGTTAGAGATTAATGATCTCATTAAAATGATTTATTCCATGACAGTAAAAGTTATGTGATTAAAATGTGCACCAAACTTAAAAACTTTTTCACCTACGTTTTTCATGATCAGTATGCGCTGTAATAACTACCCTCCTAGCCACCATCAACGTTGACGATCAACTGATGATTGTGACCACAGAAGCTGCTGAAATGCGGATTGAGCGTAAAACATGATTTTGTAATTAGAAAGTAAGACTTTTCTAGATGTCATGTACAGCTTAATAGAAGTAAATAAATTGAGGAACAACACCGCTTAACATGGGTTCTGCCCTTCAAACCAAACCAATTTTTTTCATTTCCTAGGTGCTAAAGAAGTCCAAAAATGCCCATATAAACTTCAAAAAAATTGTCTGGTGCTCAGGACGCCGCCGTTTTGAATTTTTCAAAATTGAGAAAACTCACGATTAGATTTTTGCAAATATCTCCTCAACGGTTCATCTCACAAAGAAAACAAAAAAATCAGCAGAAAGAAAACAAAATTTCCTACCAAAATCACCCTCCCCTGTTTTTTTTAGCTTGCTTTTCGGGTTGTAAAATTAACATTTTCTTCAAAAATTAGCTTACAAAAGGCGCATTTTTGCTGATTTTAGGAGAAACTTTGCTTCAAATCTCCAGCCACGATCATCTGAGAAAAAAACTGTTATGCTCATTGAAAAGAGCGTAAAATTTACTTCTCGAAAACTTATGGCAACAGTTCCTAAACTTGATTTAATTCTGTGAAACAGCACTTCATTAGCTCCGCCCTTAAATTGTGATTTTGTCAACCATTTCCTTGAAAATCAAGATAAAAAGAAGATAAAAACCTAAAACCGTGGCTCAAACTGTGTAACAATGTGGTAAAATAGTGCTGGGCCCACAGTATTTGGAGGGGGGGGGGGG